GAATGCTGCCAAAGTACACCACCTTGCCTGTAGACCCCCGTCCCAGGCAAAGTGTATGGAAAAAAGATGTAGGAAGATGAATGAACGAGTGAAATAAACTGAAGCTTTGGTTTTATGCCAGGTGCACCCATTTTTGTCTTCACGTTGAAGCAAAATAAATTTGTTCAAATCTAAGTTATTAAATCCTAACAGGAGCACTTGCAGCATTAAACTGTATACAGCACAGAGTGAGACATGGTGGAAAGCAAGACTTAAAGATGAAGAAGGTAAAAGGTAAAGTTTTCTTTTTACACTTTGTTGAATACGGAAAGACTCATTTCAGACATTTCCTTTTCTGATGTCAATTGTTTATCCTGGTGAGAAAATGTCATTCCTGTGCAGATGAATGTGCTAGAGAGGTACTTACCATTTGAAAATGTCAGTGAGTATAAAAAAAAAAAAAAGACAACAACAAAAAAAACTACTAAACTGACTTTGCTTCATTTTTTTATGTATTATTTTTATTATTTATTCAGAGTTACACAGTAAAAACAGAATCATTGAATCACAGTAAAAATGCTGCATTGTCTACTTTACTCCAGCAGAGGGAGACATGTGCCAAGCCCAGCTCTGATCATTTAAATGACTTTTCTTGGTAAAGGCTAGAAGTAAAGAGGAAGTCGCAGGCTTCTAAATTGCTTTCATGCATTAAACAGAATTGTGATTGTGTGATTGTAGGGCGATCGTGGCTCAAGAGTTGGGTGTTGGTCTTGTAATCGGCCGGTTGCCGGTTCGAGCCCCGGCTCGGAAAGTCTCGGTCGTTGTGTCCTTGGGCAAGACACTTCACCTACCCCCTACTGGTGATGGCCAGAGGGGCCGATGGCGCGATATGGCAGCCTCGCTTGCCTTCACCAGTGGTATTGTGAAGCGCTATATAAATGCAATCCATTATTATTAAAGTTATTAAGTAACAGATTAAAGCTGTGTACTTGTGTATATGCGGTCACCGTCCAAACATGTAAAACTGTTCTCTTGCGTTCGTCTTGGCCTGATTAACAATCTGCCCTCAAAAACACATCCCGTAGAGCAGATAAGATGTCAGACATCAGTTAATTCCACTGTCAGTGTGAACTTAAACAGAAGTGGTTTAATGATCTGAAAGCCTGGGGAGCAGCTATCTGTCATGACCAAATCATCAGCTAATGAACCACTCGTTCATACTTTATGCTCGTTTATCTCTGATTCAGTCGTTTGGTCAGTGTGTGTGTGTGTGTGAGTGGAGAAAAACAGAGGGAGTACCCGGCTCATTATTAAATATCAGAGTTCAGCTGTAGGTCCAATCAAAACAGCCTTAGGGAAACATCAGCTTAACCAAAGTCATGAGACTAAATTCACTGCGCTGCACACATGCAGCTGTATACACACTCGAACCCACAGTCACACACACTCGCACACAGATAACAGATAAATGTGCGTGATGGCTCTCAGGTCTGTGGATATTCGGGTAGGCAACAATTACGTTACGTTATTGCTGTAACAACAAACAGAGAAGTCCTCTTTTGATTTCTGTGAGTTGGTTTGTGGCTAAAAATGGTGTTTCTACATTATTCTTGATTTACTTTGGTTGCTCGAGGCAAAGTAATAAAAATGGCTACAATCACCTTTTATCCATTGCATTAAAAAGCTTTGCATCATTTCCTGCCATTTTGTGTTTATTTTGGTTTGTTTTTGGCAGAGAAGTGAGTCGTTATTAGCAAGCTGCACATAAAGACTGGATGGCTGCAGTGCACCGATATAAATACCTATCTTAATTAGTGCTAACTATCATATAAATAATATATACATGTATATAGAATATTCACTGTCCAAAACTGAATTAGGCACCTTACTAATACCTTTCTAATGCTTAACAGTGTGACATTATTATAAAGTGCTACCCCAGTTTTATATTTTCACTTTGAAATAAACTCCTCCTTGGGTTGAATTGAGTTCAACTATAAGAATATCCTGCACAGACCTGCTGGTGTTGACTATGGTGTAGAATTTAGCATTGATACTCTCTGTCTCTCTCTCTCTCACACACACACACACAGGCTACACATCAGACACAAACGTTGAAATGCAGTGCGAGGACGAAATGTCCTGTGCCTCTCAGCTTCTATAAACGAATGCTTCCTTATGTTTCAGAGACCACTGGGATATATTTTTCTGCTCCCTGCTTTTTCCTCTCATCTCCTTTGTACGACACCGCGGGAGGCTGGTTAGGTTTTCTCTGATGTGTGCTAGCCTCTGTGTGTGTGTGTGTGTGTGTGAGTTTGTGCTGTGGGGTGAAGAGGGGCAGGCGATCGAAACAGCCTGAGCGATGTCGTTCTGAGTCTCTCCATTTTGGGATCAGGACAGGAAGTGGGCTCAACAGAGGAAACATGACCTCCTCCCCCTTCTCTTCTCTCCCTCCCTCTATCCTCTTACTTTTCCCTGTATTCCCTCTTCCTCCCTTTGTCCGTCCCTCCCCCCCTTAGTCAGCGCCTACCCATTCACAAGGTCACTTCAGTGTTCTTCTGGAGCCGGGAGCTCTCGTATGGCTGTCACATTCATTTCTGCGGCGTGCCTGAGCGGACCTTAAATTACACTCTGCTTACTTCCTGTGTAAATAAATCTATGTTAACCAGTGATTTCTAAAACAACACTAGAACTCTGGTCTGCTCTAGTTGTTTCTGGGCTCCCTCCCTCTCTCCTGAGACTTGGAGTCTGTTATGCAGCAGAGCTCCTCTGATTAAAAGCCAAAGCAAAGGTCAGACTCTGCTGGGTAACAGAGATATTGCCAGACTTCAGCTTTACTCTCATGCCCAGTGGTCTGATAGCTCTGGTTGATGAGTTTCATGTTACATTATGTGGGATGAGGGCCTACGGTTAGCCTAGGTTGTAGATCAGTGTGACATTACTTATCAGGAGCTTCAACTCTCTGGCTTCGCAAGAGAGCTTCTCGTGTTCATAAATACTGATTAAACGGCCCCAGGACATTAGAAAAACATATTTGAATTTATTTGCCCCCGCGTTTCTCCTTCGGAGCTCAAAAACATTTCTTAAAAATCCTCACATCTATCCGCCCCCCCCACCCCTCCTCCCTCAACTCCTCTCCGCTAATCTTTCTACCACTCTTCACTTTCCAGCTCAGAGGGGCTCGACCTCTTGCTTTACCGCATACACACTCAAGCACACAAAAGACGGCCACACTGAGAAAATAAAGAAACAGCGTGTCAGCAAACGGCAGTGTATTTCACCACAGAGCACAGAGCCAAGGCACTGGAAAACAAAAAAACAAAGGCAGAAGACCTCCCTCTTTTCATCCCCCCCGCCAACCCTCCCGACCTTCATCCTGTTCGCCTTTCAGCGTCTGCATCTGTTTGTTTGTTTCATTGCCTTTTTCTTCCCCAGGCGTTTTCCTTTCTGCTCATTTTCTCTCGGACACATCCAGTGCAATGACGACAATTACAAAATTAAACAAAACGACAAAAAAAAAAAAAAGTTAAGCGTGAGAGGAAAACAAGGTAGGTTAGCTAACGACACCAACAGAGCAGTTATAGTTACAGTGATACCGTTAGACAGAGTGCCGCTTGTATTTTAGGATGTGCACACAGTGTCAGTCACATACTTACAGTAATTAATGTACAGGATTTATCAACACAAACACAGTTTTAATACAGTATCAGAACGAGGCGAGAGTGGGAACGTTCCCGGTTTGACTCATTCGCATTCGAGGCAATGCAGACTTATTACTCGGGGTGGGAAGAGCAGCCCGGCTGTGTCCGACTGCTGCATACCAAAATGCAAATCAGGGGTTTTCACTTAACCTCACTTGATTGGAGGGAAAAAAGTAGTTTTTAAAAATGTACAAAGTATGAGGGATGCTCCTGTGAGCAGTTTAACCACCATCAGAAATCAGTGCATAACGTTTGTTAAAACTGCAGATAAGCTACGTAACAGGACATATTGTGACTGGTTGCATTCATAGTTAACCTGCTGGTTACTTGACTTATAATTTCACCTTTATACCTGCATTACATGTCTGACACTGGAAAAACTTGCACTGAACAAAATATTTCTGCAGTTATCAGGTTAACCCAATGCAGAAAAAAATCCAGTCATTACATTCAAATCAATCAAATCAAGACATCTTGATGGACTGGGTAATATAAACTCTTGTGGCTTTTTCGGTTTTCGCTGTGCACCTCCTGCTGAACAAATATCTGACATTTCAGCTGCTAAATAGTCCACTATGTTCACAGGCTGGCTGCTATTTTTGTCCGGCTGCAGTTTAGCGTTCGGAAAGAAGTGCAGTGTGGTTGGTTTTTAGGACTTTTTTGGGATGGAAACAAGGCCGTGAGTGGTGAGAGTGAACCAAACAAGTAATGTTGGAGACTCTAAAACCAAAACAATGAGCTCAAGGACACTATGAAACTTCATATAAAGCTGGAGGGAACTTTAGAGGAGCACGACGATACACATATTTGTATATATATGCATAGAAATTGTCTGAAGGTCAACAGGCACCAGAAATGCTCTGGTTTCCATTTGCAGTCAAGAACGTCTGATAGATGAACAAGAGGAACACATTTGCCGATGTGCAATTTGGAAAAAAACATCTGCCATCACCTGATTTTAAAAGAAAACTGCATTCATAAACAATCGGCAATCAATGGAACAGGAAGTCTTAGATCAGCCTTACGCTGGACACACCCGAGGGTTTTCAGATGATGACCGATGATCTGTGAATTTGTTACCTTGAGCCGATCTTTCCCTTTCATATACGCAGCATTGACCAAAGCTTTTTTAAAATATTGGAACATCTTTAGTGAAATTGTTTTGATTCCTAAATTTAAGTATGTTGTATTTTTAAAAATTTAAATCCGAGTTTTTTTCTTCTTGTTTTCAATGCAGCGGACATTTAAATAAATGATCTCTAGCCGTCGCTTATCACTGAACTTGTATTTCTGACAGTAATCAAATATTTGGATGTGAAGGCAGCACTTCTTTCTGGCAGCTTCCTGTTTTCCTTACATGACCAACTACTTTGTTCAGGATACTTTCTAGGAACTCATTAGGAAATCACAGACTAGCCAGTCACCAGAACGTGTTTAAACTAGCTTCCCTGTGATGATTTTTGTTTCTTTTTTTAAAAAAGTCTGGCTTGTGTAAGTCACTTGTTATTGTCTCAGTGTTTTTGCTAGGAAGCCTTCCCACCCCGACTGCTACAAGTCCAAAATGGCTACAAGAAACACGGGGATAAGGTCATCTGCAGTTCAATCTCTTCATTTTCTGCTGTTCCCGGCACGTTTACAGGACAAAGGGAAGAGGAACAAGCAGCGTAACCAGAAGCCAAAGCTTTTTTGTAGATTTTTTTAAAATACTTTTTACTATATTTCTTTTTATACTGCCTCAGGTCAAGTCTAGGCTATTGTGGTGCATCTACTGGGATGCTATGGAAATCACAGAAGGGAGAGAAAAGCTCGGGAAAGGTGTATGGATTCATACGAAACCAGGAGCTGCGTGCACTTTTCAGAGCTTAGATGAGACTCTAATTTGACCGTCTACTTCTGAGGAGAAGAACAATGTGTCTATTGTGCCGAGAAGGAGTGGGATTAGAAGAATAACACTTGTTATCTGCAGCTGTTGATCTCTCGAACAATGGCGGGAACAAGAGAATTAACACAAGACGAGGAAAGAAAAGACGGGGCAGGAGAGGACGAGCGGTGTAGCGCAGCTCAGTCTCACTCCTCTGCTGAAGTTCATTGACAGGAACACTTGTGCAACCTTTTCACATAACACAGCATATGACCAGTATGGACCCCAAACCCCCTTCCCTCTGTCAGGTGTACTTTAAGACAGTATTTTTCAGCTCCAAACCTCATGTTTTTCCTCCTCGTATTCTTTCTTTGCGCTTCTTTCCCCTCCCGCGGCGTCTTCACACAGCTCGAGCTACATTTCAACAGGCAGCAGTCTGACTGGGTTTAGTGACATGTTGTCATGAGTCTTATATACAGAAGAGAAAAACAACGTTCAGTGCTCGTGTCATGTAGTTGGTGCTTTCCTCTACATTTTTTACACATCTTGGAACCTGTGCAAGGAGAAGCCCACTGTCTTTTTTCTTTTCTTTTTCTTTTTTTTTACAGCATTCACACATTTATACAGGTTAAACATAGAGATTCCACAGGGGCCAAAACGTCCAGAGTTGCTTCAGGGCTCCACAGGTTCAGAGGTCACTAAGATCCACTCTGCGTGGGTCAAGTGATGGTTCCACAGGTCATTGTTGCTTCAGATCAAAGGAGACCTTCTCAGAAGTCCTCCAGGCCTGGATTCACGGCTGGTTTCACAGTTAACAGTCAGAGAGGCCATCGTCTATGACGTGAAGGTCACTGCAGCATTATATCTTTGAGGTTTTCCTGCAGGATGGTGTCCTTCACGGCGTGGAAGACAAAGCGGATATTTTCTGTGTCCACCGCAGTGGTGAAGTGATGGAAAAGCGGTTTCCCTCGGTTTCTCCTCTTACGACTAAACAACTGCACCAGGAACGCCTGGAAGAAGCAGAGGAGGAAGAGTCTTTATGTGCGTGTGTTCACATGTACTGTACTGACGTAAATACAAGATCAGACCGACTTTTATGACATAGCAGGAGGATTGGACTTTTTGGGGGAAGATATTTTTGTTGTGGAACTATTGTCACATATGTAGTGTTAGAGGGATGGATGTTCGTGTTACACATGGCCTAAGGTTCAGATAATGAGGTCAATGTACAGTGGAGAAAAAACCTATTTGATCCTCTGCTTAATTTATACATTTATTCACTTACAAATATGTGAATAGTCTCTAATTTTTATGGTAGTTTAATTTTAATAGAGAGATATTGCCCCAACAACAAAAAACACACACCCATTACATAAAAGTTATAAATTGATTTGCATGTCTCCCACAGATTGACTGTGGTCCACTGTGGGACACAGATTACAATCAATAAATCAATCAGTCAGTTACAGATACTCCTGATATCAGCTTGTCCACTAGACACCGGTCCAGAGAATCAATTTCTCCCATTCCAACCTCTCCACCACCATGAGCCAACTGCTGAAGGACATCAGGGGCAAAATTCAGAAAAAAAGATCAGTCACCCTCGCGATCGGGAGCTCCATGCAAGATCTGGCCTCACAGGGTGAGGTTGATCATGAGAAAGGTGGTGGATTGGGATAAACTGCTGTGGTCAAACTGAGCTCTTTGGCATCAACTTGGCCCGCTGTGTTTGGAGGAGGAGAAATGTTGAGTATGACCCAAAGAACACCACCCTCACAGTCAAGCACGGAGGTGGAAACATTATGCTTTTGTTTTCTGGACGGGGCCACGTACTGCAACAGCCGGAAAACAGAAGATGAGTCATGGATGGGCGATCCACCATGACGATACCCCAAAACATACTGCCAGTGCAACAAAGGAGTGGCTAAAGAAGAAGCACAATCAGATCACGAGTGGCCTCGCCTGCCTCCAGACGCCAAACTTATAGAAAATCTGTGGCTGGAGCTAAAGCTTCGAGTTGCCAAGTGGCAACCAAGAAACCTAATTTATAGACATTTCTGGGAGTTTCTGTAAAGATGAGTGAGAATCCCTTCAAACCTGTTGACCATCTTGCCAAAAAGGGTTTCTCCATCAAGTACTAAGTGATGTTTTGCTGGCAGCTCGAATGCTTATTCCACTCAATGACATGCAAATCAATTTCAAACTTTTATGTAATGTGTTTTTTCTGGATTTCTGGTTGATGCACTGTCTCTGTCTATTAATATGAAACTTTCATAAAGACAAGACACTATTCATTTCTCTGTGAGTGAGCAAACTTCAGCAGAAGATCAAGTGATTATTTCTCCCACTGTATGTGCAAGCACTGCTCTAAACAGCGTTAAATATTTCTACTCTTGATGCTGTAACGACAGCAGACATCCTTAATATGGTCAACTAAGGCTCTGGCTGCAAGCACAGAAGCCCCGCCCACCTGCCGTTTAAACCTTCTGTTTGCATAGGAGAACCAATCTGAAGAAAGGAGCTAAGAAAGCTTGCTTCAAACAGTGGATAAACCGAGGGGCCTGATCAGAACAGTGCAAGATAAATAAATCATGCAAAATTAATCCAGTAGAGTCCAAGAATAAAAATCTAGAGCTACAGGGAGCATAATAAGTCTTTTCAGGAAGGTTTCTCAGTAACCAGATATCATGGAGGTGGAGGCCCTGAAAACAGCTCTCAGTGCTAAGCAAATGTGTTTCAGCGACTCCTTTTCATCCTTCATAAAAGGAAAGGAGCTAATGCTGCTGCTCAGTTTGAAGCGATGCTCTATCTGACGGTTAAAAACAAAACAGTGATCAACACGGCTCACAGGCTGTGAGAAAAATACTGGTGTATTTCCTCTTTTATAACTAGTTAAGATGCTCACATGTTTTAAACCCTTAAAAATATGCTGAAAACTACTAATCTTATGCTTCTGCGCTAAAATCTGCTGGTCACAAAGCCGGCGTCTGCAGGAGAAAGGAGCGAGGAGAAAGAGCGAGTCAGCTAAAAATTGTAAAGGTCAGCGGTTCAATACCTGACTGCGTTAATCTGCATTTTGAACCCCGAGTATGGATATTAGGTTTAAAGGCATACATGAGATGGATGAGATTTGTAGTAAGAAACCAGTACCAGTACTTAAAAACATTTAGAAAGCTGCACTGTAACACACAGGTTGCAGAGAAACCCAGGTAGTATTAGTAATGTGCTCATTTTGAGTGTTGCTCTATAATCCAGCTTTTAGGATTATCATTAATTATCTTGACTTCAGTCACGGATGCTAAAAGCCTTATTAAAGGCAAGAAGCAACCTGGATTATCTCTGCAGAAACGAGAGAAAATATTGGCAGAAAAACAAGCCTTTAATTAGCAGTATTAATGTTAACTGCATTTCTTTTTTAAAATAAAGCCTTGGTAATAAACTGATGTCTTTATAAACGCTCCTTTACATCTTTCATTGTCGCCCATAACAACCTACGTGTGTGATGACAGAAATTTTGGTCCTTATAAGCTTACATGGTAAACAGATAGAGCCTTTCTACTGTACTGAGCACTCAAAGCTCTTTATACAACTCGCCTCAGTTACTCATTCTCTCCCATTTATGCAAACCCTTCCTTATGTAAGTTCTTTTTATCTAACATTTACACAATTGGGATTACTATCTTGTCCGAGGATATTTGGCACGCAGACTTCCGATTAGCAGATGACCTGCTACAGCGACCCATGTATGGGCAGCTTCTTCTGGAATGCATGAAAGTTACCACTGTTGCAAAGCTGCATTGAGAAAGATAATGGAGCACTTTAGGAAGACGCTCAAAATCTGCAACTGCATTCAGAGTTTTGCGAAACCTCGGGTTACCTGTACGTCCTCTAGCCTGCGAGGGTCTCCTCTGAACTCAGGAAAGTTCTTGCGAATGTTGGCCGTGCGAATCTTTTCCACCAGCAAGTCCGTCTTGTTGAGGAAGAGGATGATGGACACGTTCAGGAAGAGCTTGTTGTTGACGATGGTCTCGAAGATGTTCATACTCTCGACCAGACGGTTTGTCCTGCGGTCCTCCATCAAGACCTGGAATCACATAAGCTCAACATTATTCTTTGTCTAGTTATTTATTTTTTTCAGGTCTTATCTGCGTTGCCAATTAAGGGTTCAGTCGTCATCATATGACCGCTGACTTGAACTCGAGCCACGACTGTGGGAACAATGAAGTTTCCTCAGCGCACCACAAAGAGGGCTTTGTGTTTACCGCAAATGTTGTGCGTCTCTCTGATGTTTCTTGTGCATTTCGCAATCCCAATAGTCAAGAGACTCGTCTGACAAACGCTCCCACTGCATCAGCATTTCATAATTGGGCTGACAATATGTGGGGTTTTTTTGTGTGTGCACGTACCTGGTCGTACTCCGACGACGAGGCCATGAAGAGTATCGAGGTTATCCCGTCGAAGCACTGAAACCACTTCTGCCTCTGGGACCGCTGCCCTCCAACATCCACCATCTTAAAGGGAATCTTTTTGATGACAAAGTCGTGCTCGACAATCCCTTTAGTCGCCTTCCTCGCAAACAAAATGTCTTGCTTGCTGGGAATATAGCTCTGAAAAAAGATATGAGAACATTGTCTTGCAAGGGAAAAAGTACAGAGTGTGCTTCAGATTTAACCAGTCACTATGACTCACCAGTTGTCCAATACGATCCAAGTTATCCAGGAAGTATTTGACCGACTCACTCTGCAGACAAGAAGGAAAGAATCCATCACAGCCGCGACACAGACCTGAGTCATCTTATACGCATTAAGCAAACTTAAAAGACTCAAAATAATCAAATTATGGCTCTTGATCACATTATCGGAACGATTTCATTTCTTGTATTTCTTCCTTCTTTAATTCTCATTTCCATGGAGGCTGTCGTATTGTGGTTATTAATTTAACAAGACATCAATCGTTGCAACAAAGGACAGAAACCATGTGAACGACCACAATCATATTAGTCCCATTACATCTGTGCAGCTCGCAGCTTGATCACATCTAGTTATCATGTCACACAGAACCTGCCACGAGTCCGCAGCTCTTCAAAGCTCAAGATGACATTCAAGCTGCACTGATCCACATTTTCCAATCAACAAAGGATCAAACAATGACTTTTAATTTGAAAAATCGCGGTTACAAACCCGCAGAGAATATAAACCTGAGGTGCGGCTCACCACAGGTTTTGGCTTCTTTCGGCTCATTGTGCTGGTGTGACAGCCCCGTGTTGTGGTCTAAAGATCAGCCATTAGAGAGTAGAGAAAAACAGTTTTCTATATAGACCCACAATCACACCCCCACAGTTTTAACGCTGTTCTAACATCGCGTTTATCGAGTTTGTGGCAGAAACGACTCGGATTTGCCCCGATGATCATTTTAGAGTAAACATTAGCCTGCCAGATACATTTAACTAGACATATGTGAACGTGGGGAATAATAAGGTTGTCATTATATTCCCATCATGACTTATCTGTGCATGCTTCACATCGTGACCCCTATGCAAATATGCGTTTTAAATATATCTTTGTTTTCGACTTCGTCTCTGTAAAGCACTCTGAACGACCTTGTTTCTGAACACAGCTGTTTGATTTTACCGCACCAATTTTCCAGCTGGAGCAGAGAGCTATTTTCACATTTAATAAACTTACAGTAAATAATCTGCCTAACGGCAAACAGCAGCCAGACAAAGTTAAACACAGAGATATTTCACTTTGCGTTTCAGGACGCAATAAAAATAATCTGCTCCCTACCAGGTCTTAAAATTCAACAACATGCTGATAGATAGTTACACTTTGTTACTATATATTCATTAAAAAAGTGCGTGTGAAAAGCTAAGGACATCCTTACTCCTTATAATGGTAATTAGCAACCAGGTGGTAATTAGCAACCAGGTGCACTTGATTAACTGATCCTCAGCAAGTGTAAACACAGCAATTAGGTGTTTGTTAGCACAACGCCAAGGAGGAAAGCCTTTACCGATGATCTTAAAGAAGTTAATTGTTTCAATGTGGGAAGGACTATAAAGCCATTTTAAAGTAACTTTAATTCCATCACTCTGCAGGGAGAAAGATTATTGACAAATGGAAAACAGTCAAGACAGATGCCAATCTTTGCAGGGGTGGAAGGTCCAAAAAACCGAAAAGCCACATCTCAGGCTCTGGAGGCCTCAGTTAGCATGTTAAATGTTAAAGTTCATGACAGTACGATCAGAAAAACACTGAACAGGCATGGCTTGTTTGGAATGGCTGCAAGGAGAAAGACACTAAAGACAGTATGTCAACGCAAACACCGCACGACAGATGTCAGCACGGTGATGGAGGGGTGATGATTTGGGCTTGTTTTGCAGCCACATAACCTGGGCACTCACATAGTCCCTGAGTGTATCATAAACTCCTCTGTGTACCTGTGTAAGTATTCTAGAGTCTAATGTGAGGCCATCTGTCTGACAAGATAAAGATTGGGCTAAATTGGTTCATGCAATATGTCAATGAGCCCAAGCACAGCAGCAAATCAGAGGAGCTGAAAAAGAAAAGAATGAAGGTGCTGCAACGGACAAGTCAAAGTCCAGCCCTGTCGGAGGCTGTATTTACATCATTTTAAGACTTGTGCTGGCTATGGTACACAGATGGTGTCCTTTCTTTTTACCACAACTCTATACAGACCAGAAAAACTCGCACAAATGAGAGAATATAACAGACAACACACTGCACAAAAGGTAGGCTGTGGCGTCACAAGGCAACCCTGTGATGAATAAATCTGGTCTCACGTGGGCACGTATCAAAACACAACCTGACTTCCACATACAGCCGATTTACACGGAGACGAGAAATGAAACAGAGGATAAGAAAATGTGATGAACGTGACTTAATTCACAGGAATAAGGAAACACAATAAGATGGCTCATGCGTCACGCTGTACAGTGTCACCATGTTCTAGTCTATAGAAAGAACATGATTCGAATCATTTCATATCCTCTGCAAACATCCACCGAATCAGTCATCAGGGAAGTACCTAAAAATTACCACAGTGTCTGCGCTGAACACACAAAACTTAATTTGGTGGAATATCCCAGTGTGCTATCAACTCTTTCACTTTAGATCACACAAGATTATCCAAGATCTTTGCCGACTCTTTCTGAATGCATATAGCACAGCTGATGTTTTTGGATGTAGCTATCCTGATACTTCAGACAGCGGTTGGTTCCTTTCATGTTTGCTAGCTTCGAAACTCAATTAGACAACTGTTGAAACTTGAGATGTGTAGTCCATTACTATGAGCACCATGTGTGCTTTTTTGTCACTGCTCCACCATCCACTGTTGTAGAGTAATGTGGTTTAAGCGCACACCGATCTTCACTGCAATGGATCGCACAGCTCACTCAGGTTTTAAGAGGCTGCTAATTGATTTTCATGCTGCTTGGAAATGAATGGAGACCAGCGGGTGCCTGCAGCAGAGGAAAAAGGTTTATTTGGTTTCTCTACAGCACGGGAGCTTGATCTTCAGAGTGCCGTGCTATACTCATGTGCTGTAAATGGGCTGAAAGCAAGCAGGAATAATAGGTATATGCATTTCAAACTGGAATCAGGCTGATTCCCAACAAAAGTTTAAAAATGAACCTTTCTCTTCCTCCCTCAGGAAACAGCTGTGCGTGTGAAAACAGGAGAGGAGAGGGGGAGGGAGGGATTAGCGAGTCAGACAGAACTCAAAGTTTCAAAGTCAATTTAGCACTTGAATCACACGCACACACTACAATATAACATTAGTCGTCTGTAATGCCGTGCTGACAGCAGCTTTTTCCAGATGTTTCGGTTTCTTTCAAACTGATCAACAAGCAACAGTTACAAAAAAACCTCCAAAAAACAACTCTTACTCTTCATGTTGGCCCTGACATGCCCCATAACAACCAGGAAACGTGACCTCTGTGTGGGTGAGATGTGAACCGGCGACCCCGCTGCTGACCTACGGTGTCATTGGCAATAGGAAACACAAAGCCGGGGGGCTCTGATTGGTTCAGCCGGACACAAACGACAGGGGAGGCTGGTTGGAGGGAAAAGCAGGGAGAGGGGAATTCCCAGAGATGAAGGGATACGCAGACACACCAGACAGACACGCACGTGAGTGTGCGCCCGCAGACGCACTGACACGCACGCACACGCGCTCAAGCGCAGATCGTTTCCACGGGCGCTTCAACTGCCATCAGCACAAATGAAACAGTCTGATCATTCATGCGGTCGAAGCTTCAGACTGAATTTATTTTATTAGATCAAGGATGGATTTTAGTGCCTGGTAATGCAGAGCTGTAAATGAATAAAATATAGCTCTGGGCGTGCATGTGGGCGTGAGCACGTATGTGTGCGAGCGTGCATGTGTGTGAGCCCGTGTGTGAGTGTGCATTTGTGTGTGTGTTGAGTAAGGCAAGAGGAATGTCTCCATTCATGGTGTGAATGGGCAGATTAGAGGCTTTATTCCAGCAAAGACCTGAATAAGCTCCTGTTCTGTGTGTGTGTGTGTGTGTGTGTGGGCACAGGTATATGTGTCACTGAGTGTGGGACTAAGTGCAGTGCTACTGTGGGTCAGTCCTTTCAATTCAAATAATAATAAAATACTATTTTTTAGTAACTAACGAATAATTTTAAAATTTAAAATGTCCACTGACCTTTCCAGAGTGTCATTTTATGACACCACATAAGTACATTTTTATTTATTTATTAACAAAGAATGAATCAACACTATTACACTTCATGCCCAAAAGCTTTGAATGACACACCATGAATCCAGTTCTTGAGGCAGGCAGACTGGCACAGTCATCGATGCGCTTGGTGAGTCAGGCGGAGAAGTTGTTGTGTGCCTCATGCAGCGATGACACGGGATTTTTAAGACCGATATTTAGTCCTGTAAAAATCAGATATCTTGATACGTTGGCCAATATTTTTTCCTTTTAGAGACACAAAACATAAAAAGACCTCGCCTTCATTTAAATGTCCATTTGTTCACACTCTCCCGACTCTGCTCAGTCTCTCTATTACTATTTTGTCTATTATTGTAGGGTCTTCACCGTACATGTATAAGGTGCCTTAAGGAGACTCGTGTTATGATTTGATGCTAAATAAACACAACTGAATTGAATAGATCAGCTGGTTGTTTGTTGCAAACTGCCCTCTAGTGGACAATCTATGCAACATCACCACTGGTATCACGATTGTAGGGTGTTTCTCCCCTGTCCTCGTTACTTTTTAATTGTCATTTTCCCAAAATTTAAATGTCAATACAGATTAATCAACAAGTAGCTAATACTGGCTAGTCGGGCTTTAACCTCCAGAGAGTTGAAACTAATCAATAAATTAATAAAGCTGAGTGCCAAAAACTGCAGTTCCTTAAGTGGCCACTTGAGGCTGGCTCCAAAAATGAGCTGTTCCCCAGAGACCAACGACACATCTGAAACAAGCAATTTTACAGGGGAGAATTTTTATGTACGTGACCTGTTAAACTGAATTACACCTTAAAGTTTTGTTATCTGCGTGATGTATGCCTGCACAATCTGAGGATGTTTGCTGCTGTTAGCTAAAACTGTGCCTGCTGTCGACAGCAGCTTCAAAACTGGAGTTGACCATCTTTTCTTTTCAGTCTATGCTTATTTCAGACAAAGAACTGTCCACAAATTGTTATCCATTAAATTTACAGTACTGCACACAGCAAACAGCTAC